TGTGCAGAAGACACTGAAAGTCTACAGAGGGATATAGATAGTCTAAATGAGTGGGCAAAGGTCTGGCAGATTGAGTACAATGTTGATAAGTGTGAGGTCCTCCATTTTGGTAGGAATAACAGCAAAATGGACTATGTTTTAAATAGTAAAAAGATTGCAGCACCCTGCAGTGCAGAGGAACTTGGGTGTCCTTGTGCATGAATCGCTAAAAGTAAGATTGCAGGTGCAGCAGGTAATTAAAAAGGCAAATGGAATTTTGTCTGCCATTGCTCGAGGGATGGAGTTTAAAAACAGGGAGGTTAAGCTGCAGCTGTATAGGGTCCTGGTGAGGCCACACCTGGAGTATTGTGTGCAGTTTTGGTCTCCTTACTTGAGAAGGGATATACTAGCACTGGAGAGGGTGCAGAGGAGATTCACTCGGTTGATTCCAGAGTTGAGAGGGTTGGATTACAAGGAGAGACTGAGTTGGCTGGGATTGTACTCATTGGAATTCAGAAGAATGAGGGGAGACCTTATAGAAACGTACAAGATTATGAAGGGAATAGATAAGGTGGAGGCAGGGAGGTTGTTTCCAGTAGCAGGTGAAACTAGGACTAGAGGGCATTGCCTCAAAATAAAGGGAAGCAGAATTAGGACTGAGATCAGGAGGAACTTCTTCACCCAAAGGGTTGTGAATCTGTGGAATTCCCTGCCCAGTGAAGCAGTTGAATCTACCTCGCTGAATGTGTTTAAGGCTAGGTGGGTAAGTGAAGCTGAACCTCAAAAAGATCAGCCATGATCTTATTGAAATGCAGGGCAGGCTCGAGGGGCCGGATGGCCTACTCCTGCTCCTAGTTCTTACGTTCTTATGCCAAGTCCACGGAGACTATTTTGACAGTAAGTGTAGGAATTGCCCTAACTTTTGATGATGGAGCTGTGCATTAATGTTCCAGATGGGCTGATGTTGAAATGGTGTTTAATTTACGATCCTGTGTACTAGAATATAATTCTGTTAATAGGATTCTAAATACCTCAGAGTGAAAGGTAACAAGGCAAGCAGGTGTTGGGAATTAATTAGTTTTATTAAAATGTATGCAGTGTGACCTTAACTGGCTTCGTATGTAAATATTTAATTAATTGCATGGGTGATTTTTAAAAAAAAAAAAAGTATGTATCAACTCTTGCAGTGGTAGTGTCCCTACTTCTGAACAAGGAGATCCAGCTACAGGCCCCCCTGCTCTAGAGGTGTGTCATAACATTTCTGAACAGGTTGCTTAGAAAATACTGAAATGTATGCAGGTGGTAGAAAATAGGTGAAAACTAACAGTGGTGATTTGGTGGTGAGGAGAAAAAGAATGTTCAGTTGTGTGTGATAGTGCTTCTGGATGTAGAAAGAAAGAAAAGAAAAAGAACAAAATGTGCAGAGAACAGGTTGATCAAAAAATGTATGCAGGAGGTGCTGGAGGAACACAGCAGGTCAAGCAGCATCAGAGGAGTAGGAAAGTTGAAGTTTCGGGTTGGGACCAATGCTCTGGTTCGAACTCCACTATGACAAATCGTGAAATTTGAAAAGTTCATGATGCGTGGTTGGTTAAAGTAAAACTCCCAACTAGAGAGTGTACGCTGGAACTCGTTTGAAAAGCATTGAACTTCTAGTGCTGGTCTGGAGCACCGTGTGCCTCTCTTCTCCTTGCATTTCCCTGTTGAATTCGATACCATTCTGCAGCAGGCCCGAAACGTCAGCCTCTCTGCTCCGATGATGCTGCTTGGCCTGCTGTGTTCATCCAGCCCTGCACCTTCTTGTCTCGGATTCTCCAGCATCTGCAGTTCCTACTATCTCTGATGCAGTTATTTGCTGCTTGCTATTGTATTCTGCAATTGAGTTGCTGCTCTTCTACTGAGCTGACTATCTGCTTCTAGAAGACTGAGGCCTAGGAGGAAAGAAAAAGCCTGGATACCTGGTAAGCATCCCCCACCCCCCCGCCCCCCCCCCCCCTCCCCCCTTGCTTCCCTGCCTGCTACCTGCAGCTGTAGCTGTTCCTGCATGCAGCTTTGTACAACCGTGCTGATGCTGCTGCTGTTGCTGTTTGTCACTCCCTGCTCTGAACCGACTGCTTGCTGCTCAGAGTTGAGGTCTGGGAGGACAAAGCGAGGACGAGAAGCTGAGGTCCTCTCCTGCGTGCTACCTATTGATAGAATCAGTTCCTGCTATAGACAATGTACTGCACTTGGTGACTGAGCTGTTTCTGCCATTGGTCTACCAAGCTGACCTGTTTCTAAGAGATTGAGACCAGGGATGGGGAAAAAAAGCCTCAACATCAGCTGAAGGAAGTTATAACTTTTGTCTCTTAAAGGGACATTAACATCAGCAGTTCCTTGTGTACCTTTGAGACCCTCTCTGTTAAGATCACTAGTATGTTTCTGCAACCATTATTCTCGCAGAGCTTCCTTTGTTCTACAAGTAGTGGGCTCAACTTTTTTTAGGAAACTTAAAATGGCATCTACGTTAGAATCAATGGTGAGGGCCAAGAGAAGCTTCACAGGCTGTGGCCCTACTGCTACTGATTTAAAAAAAAAAAAAACCTGAGGTGAAAATTTACATTCAACCCAGTGTTAGCATTGAGGAATGCATGAAAACTGCAGGTGATGTTGTTGGCCCATTAATTATGGCTGTCAATCATGACCACTACATATAAGATTTAAGGAAAGACTGTATTCTTCCTTGTTTAAGAAGGTAGTGTATTTGGCCTTGGACAGGGGCCTAATGGTTGGCAGGATTTATTACCCAATAGATCCTCTGAAGGCTGAAACCCAGAGGGTCATCCTATCCAATGCCCCAGCCCTCATGACAGCAAATTCCTTGTCCCTGATCTGCAACAGTTGGGGGAGGATAGGCTGGGGGTACAGCCTATCCCTCTTGGCCTGAAGGAAGCCACATTTAAATATATCACATGCCTGGCAGCATCTGTGGAGTTAATATTTTGAGTCGGGTATGACTCTTCTTCAGAACTAAAAGGCGTTGGAAAATGTTTCTTTTATACTTTTGACAGAAACAGAGGAGGAGCAAGGAGGCAGGTGATGTAGAGGCTCAGTATAAAAGACAAAGGGGTTCTTAGTGTTGGTGAAAGCATAGATGTAAAATGGGTGCAAATTAAGATGTGAAGGGATGAGAATGGGTCCTTCCCACTAAGAGCAAAGTCAATAAGTGACAAACAAGGCAAGGATATTTGGGGTTGGTGGGGGTGCAGTGAAGGAACTAAGAAAGATGGAGTTCAGATGTAATGCAGTCAGTTTCTGAACTTATTGAGTTCAGTATTGAGACCTCGAGGCAGTAAAGTGCCTAAAGCAGAACACAACATATTGTTCCTTGAGACTGCATTGTGCTTCATTGGGACACTGCAGCAAGCCTAGGGTATAATTGTTAACATAAGCGTTAGGTGGTTTATTGAAATAGAAAACAACTGGGTGGTTAGGATCATTCCCGCAGACAAGGCAGAGGTGTCCTGCGAAGCAGTCACTCAATCCGCATTTGGTCTCGTTAATGTAAGGGAGAACAGCATTATAAGCGCAATCGCACTGTCTTAAGGCTGTTGAGTTCTTTTCAATTTGTTCAGTTTGGTTTTGTTTTCACAAAGAGTATCAAAATGTAAATGTGGGTCTAGTGGCACATTGGTAGTGTCCCCGTCTCTGGGCCAGAAGATCCACGTTCGAATTCCACTTGCCACAAAGGTGTCACATGTGAACAGGTTAATTTAAAAACAATTATTAAAACGTATGGAAAGAAAATCTAGCCAGGAGGAGAACTGAGTATTTGAATGGAAAAGCAAGCTCTGTGGGTGTGGACTAAAGCAGTAGTTCCCAAGTTTATTAATCTGTGTACATGGTTCACAAATAAACTCAAGTCACACTCAGAGAGGTAATGCATTTGGCTTGGGTAAAGAAGTTGAGGGAATATCTAATAAATGGAGTGACAAAAAAGTGTGGAGGAACAGAGGGATCTTGAAGAAAGCAAGATAGGTAGTTACGTTTAAAAAAGCATACGGGATACCTCCTGGTCACAGCATATTACAGGAAAGTTGTGATCACATACCAATGGGGACAGAGGCAATTTACAAGAATGTTTCTAGGAGTGGCAAATCTGAGTTAAGCTTGGGTAAATTGGGGTCATCTTTGGAATAAAAGAGGGAGAAGATTTAATTTAAGTGTGTGAAAATGGAGGCGCTTAGATTAAATCGACAAGAAGGATCTGGTTTCCTTAGCGTCAGTAATTGAGGAAAATAGATTTAAAACAGTTGGCCGAAGGATTAGAGCACTGTTGATAGATTTTTTTTCACCCAGAGGACAGTTGAGATTTGCTGACTGCTTGAAAAAGAAGCGTTAAAGGCACAAATTGTCATCGCGTTTGAAAATACTTGGACATCTACTTGAAGTGCCATAATACAAAGCAATGGACTTAATGTGGAAAGTGGGACTAGCCTGGATAGTTCTTGTACAGAAGGCTCAGAAATGATGGGTGAATGGCTTCTTCTGTGTCATAGACTTTCTATTCTCTGTACTGTATTATTGGGCATGGAATTTTCCTGCACGGGGTTTGCTCCAGAATATGGTATTTGCCAAGTCCCAGTATGCACAGAAAAATTGAGCTTTTTTTTGGAAAAGAAATCTCCTTGCTGAATGTTTAAAGTCTGATTATTATTGGTTTGCAGTTCTCCTGGTTCAAAATAGCAATGGTTTTAGAGTCTTTTGCAGCACCGAAGGCTTTGAATAATTTTAGTCAGCATTTCAGCTGCAGCCAGTACAGGTGTGTTTCAGTGCTCAGATACCCCTCACTCTGAGTTCCTGCAGTGGTCCCGGTATTCAAATGTCCCAAGCTTTGGGATATGGATTGTGACCTTAGTGGTGGTATATTCCACACATTGGTACTGGTTTACTGAACCTAGTGCAAAGGTGAAATTTCAACAACTGTTCATTTAAACAGTCAGTGATTTTTTTTTTTCTTTTCCTTTTTCATTTCGCCACAGACACCTCAGATGCCTCAAAGAAGAAAATGGCTGTGATTATGGTGCTTGTAGTCGTGGTTTGTTTAACAACGTTCCTCCTTGTGAGGAGCAAATCACCGGCTATGACTATGGGGGAAGCGACGGCACTGACAGTATTTTTACACCGATTTGATCAGGTTGAAGCCCTCTTTAATGGTCAGCAGTCAGTGCTGTGGAGGAGAAGTAAAATTACCCTGCGCAACCACATCAATCTGACCCAGCACATGAAACCTGCCATCCTGATGTTGGCGGCTGCATGGGATGGACAGCAGACCATGAGGTGCCTCGCTAACCAGATTGCTGGAGCTTACACCTCAGCCCTCAATGCCACTTCCACAGTGAAAATTGACGCTTCGGATAGAAGCAGGCAGAACAGTGATGCTGTGAAGCTAGAGGTGGACACATTGCTCTCATCTGCATTTGACAAAGGCAGCAGAGCAGCGGTGGTTCACCATTTCCAAGACCTGCCCCCACCCTCCACCCTGATATTCTACAAGTATTGTGACCACGAGAACGCGGCTTACAAAGATGTCGCCCTGCTTATCACTGTCCTGCTGGACGAGGAGAAGTTGCCAGCGGATGTTAGCTTGGGAGCACTGGAAGTGAAAGTCCGTGATTTTTTGAAGCAGAAGTTTGCTGCCTCTCGAGGAAGAGAGGGAATGGATACAGACAAGCTGAGTGGACTGTGGAGTCGCATTGCGCACGTCGTGCTCCCGGTGGTGCCAGTGCGTGAGATCGAAGAGAGGGGCTGCAAAGAAGACAGGCAGTGATCTGGGGAAGGGGTGAAGTTCAGCCACTTGCACTAATTCACTCTGTCTTCCCTGCATCCCCCACACCATTATACTTAACTGTCCCAAGTGTGTTTTTCCAGCCTCCTTGAATAATAATTAACAGGTGAATGATACCCTGATTTAAGGTATGATCTTTCACCCACCGAGAAGGACAAATCTTTTATTTGTCAATCGACCTCTTTTGTGGAATTTTGCAAAATCTAACGTACCAGCAAAATATTTTTAAAATGTAAAGTGAAATTTTATTAAAATGTAGATGCCTGGATAGCTTGGGAGACGCCGTGTTGATCATCTCTCTTCCTCTTTTGTTTCTTAATATGCTGTTTAGCCTGAAGTGCCATTAGCTGAACTCAGATGGTTTCTCAGTGGCATCTTTGTGTGGAAACCTTGACCTTATGATGGACAGCGTTCCTTTTTTTTTGTTTCATCACCTAAGTTTCATTGAGGCACAGATTCCAGTTGCCATGATGCATACTGCATTTCACAGCATTAAATCATTATCCATGCTGTCACCCTCAAATGTGCTTCTGACCTTGGCTGTGTTGCCAAGATGATAGTAACCTGTTTGAGTCAGGCATTTAAGATGAATTTAGTACTGATTGCCAGTGAGGTGACCGACTTGGCACCCTTTGGGAGATTTGGAGTGGGCCAACCACTTTGGCTTGGGCACTATGATTGCAGCAGAAAAGGATAGCAAGACTTTTGGGGGAGTTCTCCCCATGCCACTGGCAGCAGAAATAACAGTATTGTGTACATTTAGTGGCTCCAATTTGAAGCATGGCACTGGGTCAGATTAACTTGGATCCCAGATGCATTTGGAGCTGCTCAGCAACTACTGCCGTTTAAACTGCTGTCAGTTCAGGTATACTAACACCTGAAGGGAAATATGTAACACTGCCCAACTATAAACCTGATGCCATTGATTTACCATTTTTACTGAGGAAACGCAGTGTCTGTTTTCTTGAAATTAAAGGATGTGCAAATTAAGCAACCCCTGAAAGACATTTTTGATTGCCGGTGATGATTCTTATTCCAGGGCAGAGAGCTGTTGTCTTTGAACCAAATCTTGGTTCCATTTTGGGGTTTTTTTTTTGTCATGTGACCTTTGGTCACTCAAATGCAGTTCTGTTTGGGTCGGGTTGAAGAGACTGGGAAAGATTTTTATTTCTGAACCATACTAATCAGTGATATAATCCAGAGACAATCTGTGACTGACTAGTTACTGTCCTTCTCACTCCCTAGAGAAAGGTGGTAGCTTCACAGATTGTTTGCTGCATTCTGCTGCACTGTGATTGTCTTTCTTTGTTTGGTTTTGTGTTATGTTGTGTCAGAGCCAGCATGGAGTTGTTGCTTTTTTTCTATTCCAGCTAAACATTCTGATCAACCAATCACTGAAAAAACATTGTCAGTAGCAATGCTAAAGATAAAATCTGCACAACTTATTTAACATGTTTAGCAGTTACAGGAAGCTGAACAGATCTGAACTGATGAAATCAGATGAAAACATACTGGCTGTACTTCTCAATTTAGGAAAAGTGTCTGTTGCAACTCTTTTCTGGTAACTTTGTCCCTCAAATTCAACAGCTCCTCTCTAAGGTCTCCCGTACAATTAAGAATAACTCTCTGTTTAGGAAAAAATACTCAACAGGAATGTATTTCTCTAGAAATACAATTATGGGTGAGTAGTAAAGACTCTTGGACTTTAATCTCTTAATGTCAATAACATGCAATAGAGTAAGTAGTGTGCAGGGGCAGCGTGATACTGTGTCGCAATGCCAACATTTGAACATTATGCTCACAGAGTTCCCTTTTTTTTTAAAAAAAAAGAACCTGAGAATTCACATTCACGCCATTTCAATACTGTATTTAGGATTAAGGAAAGGTTTTATCATAGAGTGATCCTTTCGGTTTTAATTCTGGTCAGAACAATGGGAACTGGTGATGGTTATTCTTTTCACATAGGGGAGATTAGCTTGACCTCTGTTCCTAAGTGCCCAATATTAAACTTACACTACAGTGAGTGAGCCAATCCTGCGGGATGTTTCATGTGATTTATAGGCTCTACTACATATCCTGTTTCTTGTTGTCAAGCCTTTTTTGTACAGTAGAACAGAAGGTAAATCAATGCAACTTCCTTATCAGTGAAAAGGCATTTGAGAAATTTACTTCACATGGCCTTGTAGGTGCAGGTGTTGGGGCTGTAGCTGACTGTGAGAACTGTGCGCATCACGCAATACCTGTTGAGTGCTACTGTGGTGCTTCTTGAATGTATACCTTTATAATAGCTCAACTTTTAAAAATACTTTAAAGATACTGCAAGTGAAAGCACAAAAGGTATAAACACATTTCTTGCATGTAGTTCCACAGTGCGTTTGTTCCAGGAAGATCACAGATATGTGCAGCCTACCAGTCAGTGCCTGAAAAAGAAAAGTGGATTTAACCGAGTTTCTGCCAAAAAGTTCTCTTTCAGCAAAGCTGTGATATTTCATATATTTCAACAGTGGCAGCACTTCAAATATACCTCAAAAACCTGTGTATTACTTTAGGGTGTCCAGAGTTCATGAAAGACACTACACCAATGCAAATTCTTCTTTAATTGATTTAAGAACTTGGCGTTCCTGGTATTACCTGTTTACAGCAATGTACAAGTTAATAACTTGACTGCTCTGATTATGCAAGTTTTTTTAAAACTGTTTTGACTTCCACATTTCTACTGTATCTCAATCAGGTTTATTTGTGATAATTTTGTCTCATAAGAGTTTCTTTTATGCTGTGAAGGAAAATAAAAATTGTATATTTTTAGAAATAATTTTTCTACATAAATTCTGGTCTAAGAGCATTTACCTCATCTGCTGAAACTTTTATTCCATTATTTACCTTGTTTAATAAATGTGCAGCCAGTTTCGGGCTACTGCAGACCTTTTTTTTTTAAAGGATACAACCTGGAGGGGAGATATGGCAGCGTATCATAAGGAAACATAATAACCATCACTATCATCATCATCATCCAAGTTTGGGGCATCTGTCACTGTTCCTTTGTTGTGACTGAATCGAATTCCTGGGGTTGCTGACCTGGGGCTAACTTTATCACGTGGACTGCAAGGAACCATGGTGTCAATTAACTTTAAGACATGAGTTTTAATAATGGCTTGTCCTGAGAAAGACTCCCCTGAAATTTCTCCCAGTGCAGTACTGAGAAGATTTGAATACTCTGTGCCTTTGATTTCCCCCTTATGAATTATTTTCCCCAGCTAGAAATTCAATCAGTTTTTGTGCCATTGTTTTGCGCTCAACGCAATTTGTTCATCAGCTCAGATAAGATAATAAATATGAAAAGGAGGAGGCCATTTGGACCGTCAAGCTTTCTCTACCATTCAATAGGAATGGTATACCTCAACATCTGATATTCCTCGTCCATTTTACTGCCCTTTCCCTGCAACTCTTGATTCTGCTCGTGATCAAGAATCTATCTAGTTCAGCCTTAAATACACACAAGAACTCTGCTCCCACAGCTCTCTGGCAATGAGTTCCAAAGGCTCTCGACCCTCAAAGAGGAAATTCCTTCTCATCTCTGTCATAAATTGGCACCCCTTTATTCTGAGACTGTGCCCTTTGGTCATAGTCTGTCCCATGAAGCGACTCAGTATTTATCCTGTCAAGACCTGTAAGAATCCTATATGTTTCAATGAGATCACCTCTCCTTCTAAACTACAATGAATAAAGTCACACCCTGTTGAGCCTTTGCTCATAAGACGTACCAGGTATCATTCTAGTGAACCTTTGCTGAAATGCCTCCAATGAAATGATATGTTTCCTTAAATAATGGGGCCAAAACTGCTCTCAGTACTCCAGGTGCAGTCTTACCAGCACAGTTGCAGGAAGACATCCCTACTCTTATACTGCGACCCCCTTTGAATAAAGGCTAATTTCCATTAGCTTTGCTGATAACCTGCTGCAGCTGTGAGCTAACTCTGTGTTTTGTGCAAAAGTCCCCTTGTGTTGGATTTTTTTCTCAAATAATATTCTGTTCTTTTGTTCTTCCTCCCAAACTGACCAACTTTGCATTTTCCCACATTGTACTCCATTTGCCAACTTCTTGCTGACTTAGTTAACCTATCAATTAATCTCAGTAAACTGTTTCCATCCCTCTCACAGCCTGCCTTTCCACCAACTTTTGTGTCATCTGCAAGTTTGGCTACAGTACATTAACTTCCTCTAAGTCATTAATATTAATTGTAAACAGTTGCAGTCCCAGCACTGATCCCTCAAGAATCCCACTGGTCATTGGTTGTCAACCTGAAAAAGCAACTCCGCCCACAGCCGACGCCGACATCGCTCCGCCCACAGCCTCCACAGCCAACAGCTCCAGAGGGGACAGTAGCACTCAGCCCTGCCGAGTCTTCACCATCCCCCCAGACCTCCCCCTTACTGAGGACGAACGGTCAGTCCTCAATAAAGGGCTCACCTTTGTCCCCTTCCACCCACAGATCAACGAATACCGCTCACGCTTGGACATAGAACAGTTTTTCCGCCGCCTCCACCTCCACGCTTACTTCTTCAACCGTGAACCTAACCCTCCCTCTACTGACCCCTTCTCCCGCTTCCAACACACCCCCTCCTCCTGGACACCACCCCAAGGCCTCCTACCCTCCCTCAACCTCTTCATCTCCAACTGCTGTCAAGACATCAATCGCCTTAACCTCTCCACCCAGTCCAACCTCTCCCCCGCAGAATGTGCAGCCCTCCGTTCCCTCCGCTCCAATCCCAACCTCACCATAAAACCCGCGGACAAGGGAGGCGCAGTTGTAGTATGGCGCACTGACCTCTACATCACTGAGGTCAGACGCCAACTCTCCGACACCACCTCCTACTGACCCCTTGATCATGACCCCACCCCTGAGCACCAAACCATCATCTCCCAAACCATCCACAACCTCATCACCTCAGGTGACCTCCCACCCACAGCCTCCAAC